CTACCGCGCCAGAAAGAGCCTCTCCAGGCGGCGCCGGGCTGAACTCGGGGCCCGGAGGGGGCCCGGCAGCCTTCATTTCCGTGCAAGCCTTTCCTGCCTTGCTGGACTTGCCCCAGGAAGCCGAAGTGCGCAGGGTCAGCTGCGGGTCGCGACACACCGCCGCCGTGACACGTAAGGAAGCTCTGCGAGCGGGCGGGGGAGTCCAACCCTGAACCGTGTTCCCTTTCTGGGCCTGGCAGGGAAGCGGCGAGCTTTAAAGGCGGCTGGAACTTCTTTTGCACTAATCGTGCAAAGGCTCTCCCCGCAAGCAAGGAAGGTGCTCCGTCAGATGTCTGACGCAGCAGCCGACAGACCTGGGACTCACATCAAGAGCATATGGCTTTTCTTCAGTCCCGCAAGACCAAAGTAGCGCACGCATGCTACTTTGCATGCATGCGCCCCCCCCATTACAGCCCTGGCTCTAGAACTTGCGTGACCTTTGCTAGCAGGCGCTGCCTCTCTGCCTCACCTTTCTCTTCTTCCAGGCACCGGCCATCTCTACACCTGGGGCTGGGGTAAGTGAGGAGCTTGTGGGGCTAGGGGTCTGTGGCCAAAGGGGCTCATGGTGCCAGTAGTTCTCTTTATTCCCAGGCAAATACGGCCAGTTGGGGCATCAGGATACAGCTACCTCTGATCAGCCAAGAAGAGTGTGCTACTTTGTGGATAGGAATCTCAGCGTGCAAGATGTCGTCTGTGGGCCATGGACCACGTACGCCCAAGCTGGGGCTCCCGAGGGCGAGCCCGGCAAAAGCCCTGCAGCGCTCCCAGACCTCTGCGTCCTCCCGTGCATTTCTCTGAAGACCGAGGAGCTTCCGAGAGCTTCGCCTTGACTCGTGGGCACCGGGAAGCCCTTCCAGAGAATCCAGGGGTTTTGGCAGCAGCGCTTGGCCCGCCTTTCTACCTCAGATTTGCTTTGCAGCGAGGAGGGCAAATGTTTCTTAAGGCAGTGCAGCCATGTTTACATATCAGAAGCACAACGTTAAATGCAAAACGAAAGTATATTTTATGGAGAGCAAAGTCAGACATTAAGGAAACAGTAATTTAATTGAAGCAGTTCTTGCTGTGGTTACTCTTACAGGTCTGCAATCAGCAGGAGCACCGCAGCAGGGGCCAAACCCTCACCCCAACTAACCAGGAAAAGGTGGGGGAGAGCTGCCTGGGCCAGCCCCAGGTCCTCATCAGAACAGTACAACTCATTTTCTGCTGCTCTTCTACACCCTCGAATAAGCAAACAGCCACGCAAATAAATAAGAGGCCACTGTAGTGAAAAACGTGCAAATCTAGCCATGATCATTGGAACGGATGGTAGAAGCCCCTGGCCACTTTCCTCTTTTACCCCAGCCAGGAAACGGGCCAGTGGCTGAAGAGGGCACTTGCCCACAGCCCCTCACAATTGTAGAGGACTCCCCGTATTTTCTTCCCTTCCTCTGCCCGGGATGCCATCTGCTTAACAGCAGGATCCAGGTGGATTGTCCACTGAGGCAAGCCTCCGCCTCTTCCCTCTCCCTCCCGCCCCCCTCGAATCAGGCAGCAGGCCTGTGCGCAGAACAGCTGCTGCATCTATGCTTTTATTCCCTTTAACGTAAAACTTGCGTGAAATCAATGCATTAAAAACAGTTAAAAGTGGCAGCACAAACCGGGCCTCCAAAAGGTCCAGTTTGTGCAAGACTGGGATGATCTGTGGGAGGATGCTGTGGCTGGCAACAGGCCTCCCTTCAGCTGTCAGGATTGGAAGCTGTGGAGTTGAGGACGTGGGACCGGTGCTCAGATTTGGAAGCCTTTGAAAGTCCGTGCTGGGGAGAGAGGAAGAACAGTTGGTATGAAGGGTGTGGAATCAGATGGAGCTGTAGCGGGGATCCTTGGAGGGGGGCGATGGGGAGCGGTATTCTGGCAACATCGAAGAGTGCCTTCAGACATCGCGTTTGGGCTTGTGGGAGAGGAGCAGTTGCAGGAAGAAACCTGGGCAATTTTCTTTAGGGGTACAGCGAGGAAGAACCACAGGCTGCCTGTCTACCCTTCCCAAGCTTGCTTCTGGCCACGGGGCTGTGCAATTTACAGGCAGGCAAACAAAGCAGCAGCAAAAGGAGCCCCAGCAAGGGTGGCCAAGCCCCTCAGCCTCCCTTTGGGTGTGGCTGCCGGCGAGCCTGTTTGGGCTGGCCAGAGGCCCTGACGGCGTGCAGCTGAGCACCACTCAGGTGACTCTTGTGGGCTCCTTCCAGGCTTCAGAGGCCAGTGGGGGCGGAGGGGGCAGAGGGAGAGAAGAGGGAGAAGGGAATTACCGCAAACTCTGAATAGGTGCTGGCAACAGAGTAAATACTGCCATTACGCTGGGCAGGGGCTGTTGGAGTACACCCACCGCTCAGAGCTGTTCGGTTGAGCTGAGACACGTTCTCCTTGTTGTGCTCCATCTGGCCTTGGGAGGGGGGCTTGGCAACCACACGGCTGAGGGTCCGGACAGGCTGTGGACGCAAAGAGAGGAGCTGTGCAGGTGGTTACAGTGTTGGGCAAGGACAGCCAGAGGGGGCACAGGAAGGGCCATGTGTGACAACAGTGGAGCTTTTCTACTCTTCTGCTGAGTTGATGGCCACCATTTTACCCTCCTCCTCAAACTATTGGCCCAACGGCATTTCTGAACCTCTGCAAGCATCTTCCTCAGTGCAGGTGGGGTGCCATTTTGGCTCCAGGAGCTCTGGCATTCTCGCCTGGGCACGGCTGAGGGGGAAAGGCAGAACTCCAGCTATCGCTTTTGCCTCCCACAGTTTGGTTTCCTTTCTGAACACTTGAGCTGCACAAGGCCTGTGCCACGGCCAAACTACCCACAGGTGGGATTTGGGCAGCAGGCCCCATAAGGAGGCTAGCCCCTCCCCAAACCCCAAGAGGCATAATTTTGGCCAGACTCTCACCAAGCATCAGCTGCAGCCGAGGCCTGCGCAGCACTGGACACTGCAGCTGTGTTGGGCCAGCTGATTACGCAAGCAAAGCTGAGGCCTCTGCTTTGGCTGCAGCCCTTGTAAGCCATTCGGCTCGTCCAGTTCTATGTCAGCCAGGCCACAGGTGCTGCAGCTGGAACTTTTTCAGGCCTACACTAAGGAGAGGAAAGGCTTTCAGCCACCTCACCTAAGAATTACGTTAAAGGGATGTAAGTTTCGTACTGCAGTAGGAAACTCATCAATCTCATGTTTCTACTGATTTCTGCGAGGAACTCTCACTTGAAACTCTTAAGCGTGTGTAGAAGTTTCCTGATAGGAACCAGAATGCAATCTCTCCAAAAAACAAGTTGGTTCTTCTTACCCCTGTTCTTCTGTTACCTTTCTCCCCTCATTTTCTAATTTTTCTACTCCTGGGTTACACTCTGCCACTTTTGCACTTGCTCAATTCCCACTACTGAGTTTCCTCCAGTTTTTCCTGCCTCTTGGCTTTTTGACAGACTTGGGGAATGGGATTTGAACATGCCTCCTTCTGGATCCAATGGGCCAGCTATTTACCTTCCCTCCAGAAAGGCATCCAGGGGAATTTAACACCGAACCTCTCAGCGCCGAGCGGATTGTGCTGTTGGGGGTCGTGGTGGTGATGTTGAGCTGCAAGAGAAGTCCATGTGTTAGGGGAGAGAGCCATCCCTGACGCAAAGCAGAAAACCAGAGAGTCATTTCCTTTCCAGGAAAAAAGGACTACTGATCGGTTCTTGAGGACTTCAGGTGTCTCATGTATGCTGACTCACTCGATTGTACCTTGAAAGGTGTGCCTGTGCAGAGAACTGGGGTGGACTGGATGCTCTTGGGATGCACTTACGTCTGGGAGAAGCCCACCAGCCTTCCCGGTTTTTCTAAAATATATTTTTAGAAAAAAGCTTCTAACTGGGTGTCCTGTACCTGACTGGTATTTTTTTCCATTTCCCCCTTCACAGAATTCCCCTCTTGCAGAGGGGAGAGACTGCTTAAACTAGCTATCTCTTCCTAAACTGCTTTCCTTCCCAGCATAGGGCTTCCCTAAAAGGTGCTAACCATAGGTTAACAAGCTCAGCTCTGTCAGGCTTGCCTAGCTGTCTGGAATTGGAAAGACCCTGATTAGTTTCACCCTAAAGCCTTTTTTTTGCCTCCTAAGCAACAGCGGCACTCAGGTGTTCCTTTCGAGGTGCATTCCCCATTGCAAGCCTGCTCACTCTCTCGTCATCTCTTCCTCTCCAATGAGCATAAATACAAACATTTCCCCTTGCTGGTTATCCCAGAACCGAGGTGAAGATTCCAAAAGGGCTGTAACATTTGCCCCCTTTTCCCCCATTCTCCTGCCCTTTGGAATCCTCACCTTGGTTCTGGGATAACCAGCAAGGGGAAATAAATGTTTGTATTTATGCTCATTGGAGAGGAAGAGATGACGAGAGAGTGAGCAGGCTCGCAACGGGGAATGCACCTCGAAGGGAACACCTGAGTGCCACTGTTTGGGGTCATATCCTCCTGACGCCATAAGTATTTAGGGGCAATTTCTTAATACACTTTTTTCAAGATTTATTACTTTAGCGTTCTCCTTCTTTGGTATCCGCCCTGCAAATTCTAAAGTGTCAGCATGCAGAGTAATGGAAACACTGGGATATTTAGCAAGTAACAAAGCCAACCCCACAATTTTTCCCCCTTGTCCAGAATAACTCTTACTCCTGGACTCAGGGTGTCTTCAGGCATGCAAAAAAGGCCAAGCATTTTCAGGGCAAAGCTCTCTAGCTTGGAAAACAGCTGTGGAAGCAAAAGGAAAAAGCTGCTGCTTGGATAAGCTTAGAAAATTAGGGAGGGGATAAGACAGGAAAAATAGGGAAGGAAAGCTGTTGGGAAGGAGAGGAAAGTCCATGAGGGAAAAGAGGGAAGGAAGGAAAAAGCTGCCCTGCGTTTATTACGTGGGATAAAAATGCGTTCCCCGACTTCTGCGATGGGGCTGTGTGGGACTTCTTGGCGACTCCGTTTACCTTTCGGGCTTTGCCAGGTGTGGTGACGCCCAAGGCCCGCCTCTTGTTGGGGGTGCTCCCATAGAGCATCTCCTCCTCAGTCTGGCGGGACTTCTTGAGTTGCTGAAAGACAGAAGGGAACCGATGGGGCAAAGCAGTAGCCGGCAGCCTCTTCAGACACGAGATGATCTGACTGATCTCAAGCAATCCATAATCTTTTTTAAAAAAGCGAGACGGACCAACTGCTTGGCCAACACACAGCATCAGAGGGCAACTGGGGAGAAGGTGGGGGAAATCCTACAGAGGAAGACCCCGCAGAAGGGGCTGTGAGGAGTCCTGATTCACCTTCTGTACTGCCAAACGCTAACAGCCGCACAGCAGTCTGGCTCGCCATGGAGCCGGTTCTGTTTAGAATTGGGGAAGGGAGGCTTTGGTAATCCAGCGGGAGAGCCCTGCTTTGCACACCCCAAAGCCCAGTATCCCTGCGTTCCGGGGAAGTAATGGTGAACTGAAGACGGCTCTGCGAAAAATGGAGCTGATGACCGTGGCGGAAGGAAGGGCTGGTGAAGGGACCGGCTCTTCGTGATTCCTCTCTGGACAAGGAGGACTTGAGATCGCCCACAAGTGCTTCAGACAGCTGCTCCTCGCGAGGAGACCACAAGAGAGCAGTCTCTGGCGGGTTTAGAGCTCTGGGAGACAAGGGAATAGCCATCTTGCTCAACCCACAGTCGGCACCTTCAAAAGGACACTGGGTTTGCATACTTCCCTTCCTAATCACTTTTGGAAATTGCTTGCTAACTGCTTTTCAGCTGTTAAGAACCTTTGGATCAACAAGTTTCACAGCACTGGGTGAATTTCCTTCAATCCTTAGCGAAAGAAGTTTTAACTACAAGTTTAAGAACTTCATTTTTTCCCCTTGGAATAAGCAGCAAAAGGGTGATTAAAACTTTGATTTTAGAAAATTTCAAATGGACTAAGAGTCCAAATAAATTTGAAATAAGGTTTTGGAATTAATTATAAAGAATCCTTACCATGGGAAAATGTTTCTGTTTTGAATTCTTTAAAAAAAAAATATAAGACCTTAAAAATTGGACACTAGAAGGAACTAAAGATAATTAAAAGGGAAAGACACTCAAACTCTACTTACAATTACAGAATGAAGCAAAATATTTTAACATTGAAGGATATTTTTGAATAACAGACCCAGACGCTATTTTTAAGAGTGTCTGCCTCTATAGATAAAAAGGGATGCGGTGGCGCAGCGGCTTAACGACGCTGAAAGTTGCCAGCCAGAAACGGTCGACACTTCAGCGGTTCGAGCCCAGCCCCATGCAGCAGAGTGAGCTCCTGTCTCATCCCCAGCTTCTGCCAACCCAGCAGCTCAAAAGCAACCGCGGGTAGATAAATGGGTACTCTCACCCTGGTGGGAGGAAAAATGCTGGTGGCACCTTGCACGGGAGACGGGATCAGTTGCCGGTAACGTGGAAGCCACGTATGCCCGAAAAAGGCACGAAGCAACGGAAGCTCCGCCTCCTGCGCTCGCCAGCTGGGCTCTGTTCTAGGAAGGAGGCTCTGGCAAACCACTTCCGAAACACCTTGCCCTGAAAACTGCAGGGACTCGTCCAGGCAGTCGCCGCAGAATCAGCCATGATTGAGTGCGGATAAAAAAAAAAAAAGCCTCTATAGATAGGCTGTGCTTAAAAGATTTTACAGAAGAGGAACAAGTTTTAGCTGACAAGATTGAGGCTGATCTGAAAGGAGATTTAAAAATTACAGGCTACAGGAATGACGTGGAAAAAGGTGTTATACTGGGCATACAAAAGAAACCATCTGATGTCTTAATAACTAAAGGGGATATACAAATAAACCAAGAGAGTGACCTGGATAATTTTCCTACATTG